CCATTCTTCTGTGGATGGACACTGGATTTCCTATCGAAAAGCATTTGGATCGTTCTCAGTTTGGGTTATTATAAACAATAAACTCACTCATGTATGTCTCCTAAAAGCTCATTTACAAGTTTCTCTAGAGCAAATATACCTAGGAGTACAATGGCAGGACTATGGGATATGAGAATGTTCAAATTTTGAAGCTAATGTCAAATTGTTTTCCAAACTGGTAGTAAGAACTTGCACCTCCAATAGTATATATCTTCCAAGGTCCCCCACCCATCGGCATCAAACCAGGAGAAGCAGAAGAAACATATAGGAGCCCTTATGGGATGTTTTAATGACTGAGTCCTAGCAGGGACACATATCACCTCTGGTCACATGTCATTGGCTCAAACTCAAACGCATGACTATTTCGGTGCAAGTGTCCCTAGGAAATGTAGTCCAGGAAGAGAGGGCAATGCGCTGACCACCTCGTCAGTCCCTGACATAGCTTCTAATCCTTCGAATACTAAAGTATCTTTTATTAGGTAAGCACCCCACAGTCTATACAGCACATTCGTGTAAAGTTTCTTACTTTTATATGCTCACCAACTCTCTTGGGAAATTAGATCAATTATCATTATCCTCATTCTGTAAGTGAGGAAAGTAGGGCTCAAAGTGGTTAAATGACTTGCCCAAGGTCACAAAGTTAGTAATTTGCTAGAGACAGAGTATAATATCAACTCTTTTTCCCCAAAGTCTTGTCCCATTTCTAGTATAATTAACCTTTCTTTTCCCAAATATTCATTCATCCAACAACTGAAATTAATTTTTCTATAACTACTACATGACTACCGCACTCTGCGTCCTTCCAAGAATACAAAGAATGAACATCACAGGGATCCTGCCACTAAAATCCTACATTTTTTAGTTTTCTAGCTGTTATCAGCTGCTACCTACCTGCTGTCTCCATTTACTCACTTTTTACTCACAGCTCAGTCTCCTCACACTAAGTTCACCAATAATTTCCAGCTCATATGGTGGCTATAGTTCAGGCCTCATCTTACTTGAATTCTGTGAAACCATTCCAAATTGTAACCCTTCCCTCTTTGTACTGCTGTCTTCCTTTAATTCCCATGATCCCACATTGTCCTGATTTTCTTCCTACCTCTCTGTTTAATAATTTAAATTAATGTTCTCTTATCCTCCGCTAATTGGTCTTCGCATATTGAGAATACCCTAACCCTGCCTGCCACAACCAGATCTTTCTTTAATGACCCAAATGAAATATCATCTTCTTGGTGGATTTGTACCTAATTCCCCAGGCAAACGGAAGTATCTACAATGTTCTGCAAAACTTAATTCTGAGCTCTTTCACAGCACTGACACATTCCACCTTATATTAATCGTCTAGTCGACTTGAGATATCAAGTCTTACCAGTTGAACTGAATTCCTTTGAGGCTCAATCCTGGCGTATCTTATCTTCTCCTTCTACATTCTCATTTTTGGCTGAAGGCCTTTATAAATGCTGTGTCCTCTACCTAGAAGACTTTCTCTTTTACCTGGTTAATTCCCAAATATCTTTCTCAGCAAAAGTCACTTCTTCCATGAAGCCTCCCCTGACTCTGACATGAGTTCAGGTCCCCTTGTTATGTATGTACTTTTCCCTCTTGGCACTTGTCACAATTGTAGTGTGACATTTAACTGTGAAATTCCTTTCATTTCTGTTTATTCTATTAAAATTTAAGTCCCGAGATCACAATGTCCAGGTCTGTGCTCTTTACTGATGTACGTTCTTTACATACAATAGCCCATCCGTAGATGTTTGTTGAGTGAAATAATTTTATTCCTGCAGAGTAAAATCTCAATGAGTTTTTAGATGCTATCTCACACATGACTCACAGTTGACTAAAATCAAGGCGTTCTTTCTTTCCCCACCCAAACTCTAGTGCCTGATTATTTGGTGGATTTCATGGCAGGACTGTAAATACGTCTGCTTTTAAACATCATCTTACAAGATTCAACCCACTGGATTTGCATTCTGTTATTCCATGTACACCATCCTTCCCACTTTCTGTCACCTGACTATGTGATAATCAAGTCACTGACAAGGGCTGAATAGGACAAACTAGAGCCGAGGCTCTAAAATCTGCCTCTTGAAACTACTTCTTGGTAGACGATTGTGATACTTTACCAGAGAAGTTCAACTTGCCAGCCATATTATCCTGACCATGGCTAATTTTTGAAGGAGGGTCTGTATACCAAATACCCTTACACTGCATATGAAAACCTAATCTAAGGTCCAAAAGAAATGGACTGACTTGATAAATTTTTACCTAATTTCTCTAAACAAAAATACTCTCTTCTCCCTCTATGTATCCCAAATTTGTTCTTGCCATTTTAATCTCACTGACCATATTCTGACACATATTATTGCTAGTTGTTTGGACAGCGCTAAATCTCACTATTTACATTCAGTTCCTTCAAGGCAATAAGTTTGCTGCATTGAAGTGACTATTTATTGAATATCTCCACCATGACAGACACTGGTATTTTAAATGCACCAACTTATTTCTTTTTGAGGTAAATATTAACAACGACGAGCACTTCAGAGATGAGGAAACTGAATCTCAGAGAAGTTGGTTTACTTTATATTCCTCATCTAGCCCAGGTCCTGGCTCACAGCATATATTAAATGAGTAATTGTCAAATGAAAGTATACAATGGATGTTGATGGCAATTGATATGGGGATTCCGCCCTCCCAGAGACTATGATATTAATATCTTGCATGAGATGCTGACTGGACTACATCTGAGCTGCTCTTCCAGATGAAATTTCCCTGATGCATTATTAATTCTCTCTTTCAAAGAGAGTGTGCATTTTATATTTCTCCAGGCAAACAGAGACAGGACAGATGTGTTATTTGGAAAAACACTATTGCAGGAAACAAAAGTATGCAAATTATGCCTCCTCTGTACACTTCAAGACCCATTTTTAAACTGGTAAACTTCTTCAAGGTGACATACTGACACTTTGAAATAATTTCTCTCATTAGACTACACTGACTACAATTCAGGCTTTTTAACGGAAGACCAAGGAGATGAAAACCGTCTTCCCTAAGTGTAGAGTGATCGCTTCCACAGAGGATTTTTTTTTTTTCTCAAACGAATCTAGACAAATACACAGTGAGATAGAGCAGATAATGAGGAGCGTGAGTGATTCCAACAGGGAACTTGCACAACAAATCTATATTTTTCTTTTTCAGAAAGCCACAAAAACTCATCTTGGGGTCATGTTTTATATAGAGGTTTGCACAATCTTTGCAAAAGTACAGGATTTTTTTTTAAGATTTATTTATTTTAGAGAGACAGAGAACACGAGCATGGCGGGGTGGGCAGAGGGAGAGGGAGAGTGAGTCTTAAGCGGACTCTGTGCTGAGCGCAGAGCCAGACGTGGGGCTCGATCTCATGACCCAGAGATCATGACCTGAGCCGAAATCAAGAGTCGGCTGCTTAACCAGTTGAGCCAACCAGACGCCTGAAACGTATAGGATTTTCTAATCGAATTTCCTTTTATAGGTAAGAAAACTTAGGCCTAATGAAGATGAGTTTCCCAGATCAAAGGGCAGTTACGTTAGAACTCAGATTAGAGCCCAGTGTCTGGCCTTGGAGTCATGTCGCTGCATTTCTGCCACCCCATCCTGTTCTTGCATATGGGTCCCCATGATACATAACTTCCATGTAGGATTCCCGGGACACAACCACCCAGACTTCTAGTGGCAGCTTATGCCCCCACTGGCCTGTGCGGACTTTTTCTCTGGCCTAGCAATCTCCGTTCACTTGTCAAGACAAAGTTCCTTCCATGTAGTGGGCCCTAGTTTTACTGTCTGTGCATCCCATAGGGCTGGGCCAATACACTCTTCCCTCTGGTGAGTCTTGACTAGAAAGAATCTGTAACACAGCATGCAGCAGGACACAGTAGGCAAGGCCTAACATGGACTTTATTTATTTTTTATTATGTTCAGTTAGCCAACATATAATACATCATTAGTTTTTGATGTAGTGTTCAACGATTCATTAGTTGCATATAACATCCAGTGCTCATCACCACACGTGCCCTCCTCAATACCCATCACCCTGTTACCCCATCCCCCCATCCCCCTCCCTTCTTCAACCCTCAGTTTGTTTCCCGGAGTCCAGAGTCTCTCGTGGTTTGTCTCCATCTCTGATTTCTTCCCATTCAGTTTTTCCTCCCTTCCCCTGTGGTCCTCCACGCTATTCCTTATGTTCCACATATGAGTGAAACCATATGATAATTGTCTTTCTCTGCTTGACTTATTTCGCTTAGCATAATCCCCTCCAGCTCCATCCACGTCGATGCAAATGGTGGGTATTCATCCCTTCTGATGGCTGAGGAATATCCTGTTGTATATATGAACCACATCTTCTTTATCCATTCATCTGTTGAAGGGCATCTTGGCTCCTTCCACAGGTTGGCCACTGTGGACATTAGCATGGACTTTAGAATCTGATAGCATGGCTGTCAGTCCTACATCCACTCATACTATCTACCTAAGTGCCATCCTTTCTGAAGTCTTCTGAACTTCGGCTTCCTCATCTTTACAATGGGAGACATCATAGCTACTATACTTTGTTGGGATTGGGGACCAAGCGAGATAATGCATGAATTGTATTTATCACTTGGAAGATGATGAGTAATTCATAGCAGTTTGCTACTGCTGTCCTTAAATTGTGGCCACAAGTTTGCACTAGGTTTTCTGAGTTGTCATTCTCATTGGCTGCTGTTATAAGAATATATCTTCCCCAGGGGCGCCTGGGTGGCTCATGTGGTTGGGCATCTGACTTTGATTTTGGCTCAGGGCATGATCTCGGTGAGGCTCGTGGGATCAAGCCCTGTGTCAGGCTCCACGCTCAGCACGGAGTTTGCTTGTCCCTCTCCCTCTGCCCCTACCCCCAGCTCGCACACACACTCTCTCTCAAATAAATAAATAAAATCTTTAAAAAAGAGAGAGAATACAGCCTTTCCAGAACATGAAAAAACAATCTACTGGGAGCATATTGGGAATAATATATTCCTAATAAATCATCTTCACACAAGCAGAATGACTGGAATAGACAAGGGATGTTAAGGGAAATAGAAAAGCATTCTTTCTATATGTTGTTTCTACCCCAGACATTCTATTTTTCTTTTCTCTTCCACTCTACTAGTTCAGTAGGCTAGATCCAGCTCACCTTCAACAATAACCTTGAGATGATGCTTAGGAGTCTACACCCCTGTATTAGTCAGGGTCCTCCAAAGAAACAGAAGTCATAAGAGACTGACTTGTCCAAAGTAACCCAGTTCCTCATCCATACTGAGCGCCCTAAGGTGCTGATTGCAAGCCAAGGTGCAAGACAGTGGCATAATGACCAACAGCCACAGGCTGAGGTTGAGACTGATGGACTTCACAACAATGCAGGAGGATTTGCAGGTTCTTGCTTGGTGATCAGTCAGACTAAGTAATTCTTCTCCCTATGTGTCCCTATTTGGAAAATAAGAATTAATTACTGAGTTCTGAAACAAATTATTACAAAATCCAAGTTAACCGACACAAAAACATCAAGCCTATGGGTACAAAGAAAACGTCCTTCCGCAGGTGCAAAATTTAGAGAGGAGTCCACAAGATCCCACCCACTTTTTATTTTATTGAAAAGTGGATATACAATACTGTATTAGATTCAGGTGTACAACATAGAGGTTCGATATCTATATACGTGATGAAATGAACAAGACCACACCCACTTCTGACCACTGTTGGGTTCCATCATTAGCTAGAAGGCCTTCAGTTACACTTTGGCCTCAGTCTAACACTGAAAACTGTTATACTGATTGTTAGGATTATCACAGTTGAGAGATACAGATTAAAATCAGCCAAGGGAAAGGGGATAGAGAGCAGAGTAGAGGAAAGTATGAAATGTGGAGCTTCTGGCTGTCCTCTCCCCAGGGAGTCAGGATCCACTTTACTTTCCCAGCACTGGTGTGTGACAATATGCATAGACTGTTTCCAAGCAGCAGAGCTCACTCCAGCCTCAATGTCCAGACTTCACTGGGGCTCCGTCACCTGGCATGACTAACTGCCAGACAGCTGATCTCAGTGTCCAGCCCCTCCAGCTCATGCATGATGCAAATCCCACCGTAAATCACATTGTTGGTGTGGCCCAAAGCTTTCACTCCAAACTGTGTTGTTACCATCTGGCTGGCCAAAGGCCTCCAGGTAAACAAAGTGCTTTTCTCAATGTCAACTTTTTGACAACTTTTCTAAGACAACACATTCTAAGGGCTTAGAGATTACCTCTCAGGAAACAAGGTCAGAGGCCAAACTTCTCTCTGGGGAAGGCTGAGTTCTTTACTCCTTGGCTGAATAGCTGGTTTTGCCCGAGGATGCTCCCCTGTTGTGACTTCACAAAAAGAAAATCTGTAAGTGTGCTTATCCATGAAACAAATATTTCTTCAGCATTTATTTTGTCCTGGTCTTCTCTGAAATGCTTTCCCAACACTGTCTCCACTAATCCTCACTGCAGCCCTCTGCGGTGGGCACTATTTTAATGGCACTTTGGAGATGAGGGAACTGAGGGTTGCCTCAAATTGCAGAGCTGGTGAGTGACGATGATGTAATAAACAGGAGGCCTGTGAGTCCAGAGGTATAATGAAGAGACTATAAGAGTTCACGCTAATCTTCACCATACGGCAAATATACCGCCTTTTCCACGGGAAGTAGATCTCCACAGGCGCATGCACAGCCAAGGAAGTCGAGGTCACTGAATGAAAACTGTCCAGAACTGCCATTCTGTTCCACAACATATGTGAATTCAGACTGCCACAAGAAGCAACTCCTCTTGCTATACATTTAACAGAAATAAATATAAGACAGAAGGACATGAAGACTTACCACATGCTCATGGTGCCTTGATCAAAGGAGGCTTCGGTGACAACAGCATTTCAAGTGGTCTTTTTGTCTGGCATCCCAGAGATCTGTACACCCTGGGGCACTGCACAATGATAAGATTCTGGGTGAGTGAAAGGCAGGCCTTTCTTCATAAAACAGGATAAGGGCAATTCTGAAAAGGGGAGGTGGGAAGCCCGGTGTTTGAGTCTTCCGATATACATGCCTTGTCAGAGAGAAAAATTTAGAAAAGAGAACACAGGGATGTTGGGAGTCTGAAAATGGTTTCCCTTAAAAGACTCCACATGAGCATGCCCCGTTCGAATCGTCACATACCCCAGGATGCCTTGGTTTGGTACCAACTCATCTGGATGATCCCATTTCATTAATTTTAAATTGGGGGGTAAAGCTTCCATTAACTTGCTGTGTCACCAATTCATAAATAAATAAAGTGTTGATATTTCATAAATAAAGTGGGAGTCCTGAGTCCATACGGACTGAACGTACGGGGAATTTCATGTGAAATCCAGCTGGAGAGAGTCTGACCAGACACAGGGAGAGGGGGGTCTTCATTTTTCTGAGGAATGGTGATTGAAGGGATGTGGTCCCAATGGTGTTGTGAGAAAGAGGCCCCGCCCCAACCCAGGACAGGGCAAACAGTGCAGTCCACCATCAGGTAGCACGATGGAGGAGTGTTTCTAACCCATGGCCATCCTTCCATGACAGAGTGAGATCTCCAGGGTGGCCAGTGGTTCCCAAAAGATGGTGCCCAGGACAGCGACTCAGATGCACAGCTGTGGAGGAGGAATGCAGGCCAGTTCTAAGCAGCAAAAGGAGCTCTTGGTGGAAAAACATGGGTCGGCCCCCTCTTAGACCTGTTTCTGTCTGAGTAGAAAGTTCCCAGAGAAGGAAGAAAGGAGCTCGAGCTCCTTCCGGAGAGCAGAATGGTGAGCATGAGCATTGGAAGGACCTTGTGGGTCTGGAGCCATTTTGGGGACCGTTTTGTACCTCCACGTCCTTCCGGTGGGTGGTCTTGGAAACATCAGTTACAATGCTGATTTTAAAGAAATATGAAATACAGATGTCCTCCCATTTTACTGCCTGCAAATTTTATAAACAGGTAATTGTGAAATTTAATATGTAAAACTGCTTCACTCCGAGGATTATTTTATAATGATTAGAAACTAAATGATCTTTAAAGAACTTTGGCCAAAAATACTGTCAATGACTCATTGTACCCTACACTCTACAAATACTCCAGCTTTCTGTTTTTAATAGAATTAGAAAGGCATCCAATCCACACCAGTATAATGAGTTGAAAAGTGAAAAGTTTAGTTAAGTACCCAGTCCTACAAAAACAAAGAACAATACTCTAGGTTTGGGGGGGCACTGGCTTTGGTTTGGTGCTGCTTTAGCCCACAGGATTGACGAAGCTCTTTGACCTTTCGGTTTTGTGCCCCTATTGTCCATACCACTTCATAGATCATAGTCCTTCAAATTTGGGACTTGTATGGTCCAATATGACAGGGAACCCCAGCATCAGCAGCTACCGCTCAAATAAAGTGGGAAAGAAAACCAAAAAGAGGGTTGACTCTCAACACTTTCCTCAAAGGGAGGGGTGTGTGTTTGGCTTTCTTGTTATTGGCACCTCTATTTAATACCTGGGCAAAGCACATTTCTAGTAACAATGGAAGGGCGCGGTGGAGGACGGTGGGAGCACAGACCTCGAGGTCACGGGTCAAGGCACCGGGAAGGGAGGGTAGATATGTTTCAGACTCTACTTGGGAGAATTTGTCTTTGTTTCCAATTCATGGCCTCCTTCAGTAATGACAGAGCATAAGTAGAAGACGGCGCTTTAAAAAAAATAAAGAAGTCAGGATGGTTTTGTTTCTGCAAATGCCTTGAACAAAGCATGTGTTTCTGTTTAATACTGGATAAGCTCCAATTGATGTCTAGATCCTTGTCCAAATGTTTACTTTTCTGTGGGATTTTTTTTTCCAGTGGGGCCTTATGAAGCCAGGGCTATGGCGCTGGGCTTGAAAGCTGTGGCCAGCGCCCTTGAAAAACCATTGTTTTACCCACTGCCCAGCCCTGTTCAAATTAAATCTTACTTTAAAAAAAAAAATCATTTTGGGCCTGAAAAAGATCAATCTCAGTACAAAACCAGAAGAAACTGATGAAGAGTTGAAGGAAATTCACCAAAGCAACTCCTGAGACAACAAATATTGAAAACATAAATGTTTGTTTTCACTGGGATACTCTGTGTGATTTTTTGGTGTCATGTAAAACAACAAAAATAGCTTGTTTTATTTTTAAGCAGTTGTGAACTACTGACTTGAGTATGCACAACCCCTACAGAGGGAAGTTTGAAAATAAAAAATGTTACCCTATGCTCCCTTGGTTATTTTATTCAACGCCACAGGCCTGTAGAAGGTAAAATACATACACCCTGAATTATAAATATGTCAAGACAATAAATGAATAAACCTGAACAGTTTTATCTTACATTTTCCCTAGAAAACTTAACCCTTAATAAAAGCCACATACTATGATGCAAATAGAAAAAACACACACACACACCAAAAAAGAGTCTGTAGATAACAGCTCTTTAGTTACAAAGATAAAAGAATTTTGTAAAAATAAGCAAAAACTAAAGCCTCTGAGAGTCACTGTAAAGGATCCAATTTCTCCCTTTCCAATCTTTAAAATCCTTTAGATCAATTTCTTTCAACTTCTGGGTAAAAGACCCACTTTTCCATTCCCCAGCGGAGTGCTGAAATTGGATCCCCAAGTTCGGGGCTTTGGTCTTGCCCCTCTCCTTCCTTCTGACTGGAGGTTTGTGAGTTAGTGTTTGATGCTTTAAAAACCATCCCCAAAGGTGGTGGCTTAAGATAACAATTGATTATTAATTCACGATTCTGAGGGCTGTCTGGCTGGTTCTACCCCCTTGGCTGTCTTGCCGGAGCTGGTAGAGCTGGGCTGACCTCATCCACACGTCTGAGGCCTCAGCCCAGCCTCGAGGAGGCCCATCCAGGCTGCACCTGGTGTCACAAAGATTCCCAGCAGGAAGGAAGGGTAAGAGCATTGCACAAGCATCCGTCAAGCCTCTGTGTGTACCCTGTTTGCTACTGTTCCACTGGCCAAAAACAGTATGAGTCAGTGTGGTTAGACCGGGTGTAGACCACATAAGGGAATAGATACAGGGATGTGTGAACAATGTGAGGAGCGTTACTATAACAATCCGTCACTCTAAGCTAGTCAGTTCACCTGCCTGGGACTCATTTTCTTCACCCCTAAACTGGAAAATGTAATAATTTGCACGACTTTAAAAAACTGTTTGGAAAAAATAAATAAATGAATAAATAACTGTTTGGGGAATTAAATGAGAAAATATATATGGAAACTTTTGGAAAATGAAGAGAACTCCATAGTTGCAAAATATTCTTTTGACAGAGAAATCTGTATTGTTCTAGGTAGTCCCTCTCACCCCATTAAGCTTGTTTCTTAAGTTTTTACATATGTCCCAACCACTTTTAAATAAATTCACCCCAATAATGAACAACTTAAACTTTTTTTGTATTTTAAAACCAAATCAGTACAACTTCTTTTTAAGATTTTATTTTTAAGTAATTTCTATGCCCAATGTGGGGCTCAAACTCACAATGCCGAGATCAAGAGTCGCACGCTCTACTGAGTCAGCGAGGTTCCCCCCAAATCATTACTTTTTTTAACGGAATTTTTAAAATGTGGAATTCAGTCACCAGAGTTACCTTCAGCAGAAAAAAAAATCTGATGTCATCTAATTTAATGTTTACAGAACTAAGACTTTGTCTACACAATGCCGAAATAGCTGGTCAATTTAACAAAGTTGGTTTTTATAAGGCATCTGGATGTTTCCTCTACCTAATGCTAACGATTATGAATCTCTACTGCTCAACTGGACTGTTTTATTTCATTTTGGGTTTTTTAATACAGTGCTACAGCTGCCTGTGTAAGAGCTTTCATTATTCTAGAATATGCCCTAAGATGAAAATGTCTTTTGCTGAGATATGTTAAGAAAAAAAAAGAAGAAGAAGAAGGTAGCGGGAGGGGAGGAATGAAGCGGGGGAAATCGGAGGGGTGGACGAACCATGAGGGAAGAT